TTCCCATTGGCTAATCAGAGCGATATGAAAATTTACTGCCAGCCAAGATGGCGGTTAACTGGCAACAAAGATGGCGGTTAATTTGCATACACAGCCGCAATGCTGGGAGGCAAAAGGGATGGGAAACCCAGCCTGCAGGCAAGAGGTGGGGGCCAGTGATCAGTGATTGCATTGTGGATTGGAGGCAGAGAGAGCTGCTTCCCCGTGATCACCATGGCGATCAGGGGCAGAGAGCCACTGCGCAGGCCAGCCAGCACCCCTGGACCCTCCTGGGCTGTGGGTGCCAACTGACCTGCTACCCCGTGATCGCCATGGTGATCCGGGGCAGAGAGAGCCCCGGCCAGGCCAACCAGCACCCCCAGACCCCCTGGGCTGTGGGTGCCGGCTGGCCTGCTACCCCGTGATCGCCATGGAAAAAAGACCTTCAAGGGCTATCCAAGGAAGGTTTGCATTTAAAACTAAGTGGGGTGGTCCGGAACTGCGCGGCACTGACAACCAGGGCAGTCTCTGCCTCAGTGGCACATCTGCTGCTTGAAGTGTGGGTGGTGAGGGCCATGCAAGCCAGAGGCTTTGGCTGCAATGGTCAGATAATTTCAGCTCCAAGGCAGGCGCAATCAGGGAAGCCATGGGGACCTTCACAAAAAAAGAGAAGGCTAAAGAGGAAGGATACTTCCCAGAGTGGATTAAAAAACAGCTGGCAGCCTTGAAGAAACAACGTGAAGAAGAGATCACTCATCATAAAAAGGAGATTGAGCGTCTGCAGAAAGAAATTGAGCAGCACAAGCAGAACATCAAGAAACTGAAGGATCATGATACTGCGGCAGTGTCAGGGTGAGGGGACAGCCATATTTGTCGTGCGCCGGAAGCTGTCAACAGCAAAAAGTATGCGGGAGCTGGGCAGGTGCACAGACAGGCACACAGATCCCAGGCCCACCTCGCCACTGCCTGGTCTCACCACCACTGCTGCCAATGCCATCTCATGGGTCCTGCGCCCCGCAGCGGGAGGGGTGGGGGGATGTCTTACAAACTGAACTTGACCATGCACATGCCCGCCACCTCCATCAAGGCCTCTGGGAGCGTTCACCAGTCTTCCCAGTACCGCCAGCTGCTGAGTGACTAGGACCACCATATCT